GCTTGGGTTGTTTTTTAGGGTTTAGGTTTTAGGGTATAGTATAAAAAAAAAAGGAACCCCCAAAATAGTATAGGTAATTATTTGGGCTTCTAGATTATAGAACCCCGAAACCAGAACCGCTTTGGAGACCCACGTCGTCCCACGAAGCCATCCGGCAAGCCGCAACAGTCGTCCGAAAGGGGCGAAAGGGTTGCTTTAAATCCCTAAACCCTAAACCCTATACCGGTTCGGGGCTTGGGGCCAGCGCGGGGTTTACGACTATAGAGAGGCCCGAAAACATAAGTAGGTTGAAGGGCGAATCCCCCTATGATAGCAACTCTCACAGCCCATGGCTCCACCACAATGGCTTCATCGGCTGGGACGGCTTCACCTTGGCAGAAGGCTGTGCCGAAGCCGGGCTTAAGGGGACTGGCGCTGAAGGTTCGAACTCAATAATTTTCAGACGCCTTGGCAGTTACACGGAGTACATTCTGCTATAGCTGCACAAACTACACCTACCCACCACGGACACCATTGTCAATGAAATATAGGATCACGAATACGATACTGTCGTTAGTGTGCTATGACATATGACATTTTGGTGTATCATCGTACATCTATATTACATCATCTTATGGCATGTTCTCTCATAGTCTACTATACCACAGTGTATGGTTGCATATTGGATTAGATTCTACTGCGCACACAGACCTCCGAAGCAGCGTCACTTCTTCGAGTTTCCTGAACCTCGTTTCTGGGCTTCGGACGTTCAGGATGTAAGGTTTCAGTGTAGGGCGAGGCTCAGGCCGGTCAAATATAGTATTCCAACAAGATTTCGGGCTAAATTCTACCGGAATTGATATTTGATGGGGACCACAAGCACATACTACTGCTATTTGCTCAGGCCCCTGTCGTACATCCCTTCTGGACGCCGAATGAAATGCTCCACGAAGCCCTTACCGGTGTAGAAGATCGAAAAACCCGCTTAAGCTGACCCTAAACCCTGAACCCCTGAACCCTAAACCCTAAACCCCTAAACCCTAAACCTTCTTAACCCTGTCAAAGCCGCTGCCGGTTTCGTCTCCAGCGATGCCTTGCCGCCTTTGCCGGGCTTGCCGCCGCCCTTCGCGCCGCCTTTCGCGGCAGGGGGCCCACCTCAAGTGGAGCATTTATAGGGTTCTATAAGAATTCAGTAAGTTAGGGTTTAGGGTTTAGGGTTTATGATAGGGGTTTAGGGGTCAGCGGTCTAGGGTTTAGGGGTTCAGGGTTTAGGGTGAAGGTTTCACCGGGCATCGAGCACAAGCCTATTTCTGGATTTCCTATGCGCCTGTCTCGCCTGAATGCAAGCAAACAGAAAACACATGCACGCAGTTACCAAACGGGTCCCCAAATCCTACGGTAATCACCTGACCCGAAAAGCTTCTGAGGCCCATGTCTCAAAAACCAAGTAACAACCTTATCAAACCCTAAACCCTAAACCCTCCATAACACCCCTATGCAACCCTTCCCAAAAAAAAACAAAACCAAAAAACGGAGGTCCGGCCTGGACCCTTCCCAGCAGGGGCCGGAGGACCTTTCCCTGCCGGCGCTGGTGGGCCTTTGCCTGGCCCCTTCGCCGGTCCCTTGGGCCCCTTCGGGCCCTTCCCGGCTTTGGGCGCGGCCTCGCCTGCGGAGTTGAGGGTTTCGGATTTAGGGTTTTTAGGGTTTGGGGCTTAGGGTGTAGGGCAATGAAGATCTGAAGCTCTTCAGGGCTTGGGGTTTAGGGTGGTTTAGGGCTTAGGGTTTAGGACTGATCGTTTGTAGGATGAGGGCCTAGGATAGGAGCAACCGAAAACAACGTGTCTTCCAACACAAGCCCTATGAATTTCAGCTTTCATTCGAATCGTCGGCCTATCCCGACCTCGGAACCCCGCACCCTTAAACCTACTACTCCAATCCCCGCCCGAACTCTGGATTCCACGACATAAACTGCAATCCAGCAAATCCTGCAGAAAGCATGCTAACCCAAAACACGGGTTAGCCATAGTCCGAAAATGGACCAAAACACAAACAATAACAACTCACTGAGTAGCTAAACACCCACAAAACACAAAAAAACACGTGTACACATACACACACATGCACAAAATGAGCCCTAAACCCTCAAAACCGCGCACAGAATTTCTGCCCAGCAACCGGCCGCTTGCTCCGCCGCAGCAGGCGGCGCATCGGCCGCCGCCGGTTCGGCCCCTTCAGCTTTTGGCAGTGCTGGGCCCTTGCCCTTGCCTTAGCCGCTGCAATTTAGGGGCCTTGGCGGGTACATCATAAATTTTTAATTTTTTTTCGCAGGGGCCGCTGTAAAGCTAGAGGCTCCTGGTCGCGATAAGCTCAAAGCAATGAGCCCTGTGCCCTCTGAACCCTAAATCCTAAACCACAAACCGTAAAGCCGAACCCGAAACCTTAAATCCCTAAACCCCTAGACCCCACACCCCAAATCTTACCCTAAACCCTAAAACCTGAACCGATCAACGCTGGTTACCCGAGACCACACAGAGGGAGAGGTGTTCCGGGTCAAAACCCGGCAACCTACGGGCCGGAACCACACAACAGTGTGGCCCATAGCACAGCAGGATGGGCTTGATTTCCTATGTTCGCCAAGGCGCCGAAAAGACCAATCTCTATTAGCACTAATGTCACATTCTTTTCACCTGCGGCACACAAACAGCAGTCACGGCCACATCCGCCTCAAGGCGGACCAGAAAGCCTTAGCATGACCCTTCACAGCCACCGCCACCGAAGCAAACTGGTTGAAACCGGCAGACGTTGGCTCTAAACACATTATCTCGTGCAGCGATGCTCCCTGCCGCACTTCCGGAGTGTGCCGGCAAGAAGCCCATGCCTCACATCGAAGCAAAGTGTGTGCAAGTGGTGACACTGTGGGCCGGCCACAGGCCACGCACTGCACCACCCTGGCTCGAGAGGGTCTACCCCGAGTCTACCCCCCTTAGCACCTAACAAAAGCAAACCCAGTGTAAGCCTGCAGATCGCTCTTGCAGCGACCAGAGTTTCCCAGTCAGCAGGAATTCGCAGGATATTCACCAACATACCACATGGGGCGCTTTCTGGAAAAGCGTTGGTCAGGAGTGTTGCCTGCGAGGAGGTAGTCATCACTTGTATTGTCTTTTCAGAACAAGCCTGTTGCAAGGTGGCGGACGTAGGCCTTCTGGGCCCGAAGCCCTGCTCCGGTGTCACCCTCAGCAAAGTCGCAAATGCCCCATGTCTGGAGTAGCTGCCTGCTTCGAGAAGCCCAAGACGCGGGAAACGACGAAGCTCTTCTAAATGCTTTGTGATACCAATCCTCATACCGCCATGCCTGAATACGCACTCGGCGAGAAGCAACGTCGAGGAGAGCTGCAAAACCTGTGAGGCCCCAACCCAGCTCCCAGGGGGCCAGGTGTGCAGATTGCCACGGTGGCATCCCTACTAACACCCTAGCCCATTTGTCAAGCGCGCTCAGGCGCCATGACCGCATAGAGCCATCTGCCTACACCTAGAGCCCCGTCGACCTTAGAGTCAAACAACCCGAGGACAAAAGGCAAAGGAAAAAGACCCTGAAGACAAAGTCCTGAAAGGGATGCAAACTGAGCACTGGCAGATCGCAGTCGAATCTGCAATGTCTCAGTGGCACCACCCTCCGAAGACCACAACCATCCGAGCCACTTGTGGTTGTCGTTGCAAACTGAGAGGCAAGTCGGCGCCGCAGATAACTTAGGACGAAACATACTGGGGGCAATGACTCCAGAACCACCGATTCTCATCAGGACTGTTTTGTCAGCCCCCACGTGGAAGCAGGCACCATGCAAAGGAGCCCACTTTTCCACTACGAGCAGCATCCTGCAAAACTCTCCCCTTGACGAGGCCAGGAGCACGGGGTCGTCCGCACGTAAGAGTATAGCCAAGCGATCCGCGGCATTGAGGTCAAAGGCACGAGCTGCTGAGGCTTCCAAGTCCTGCTGTCGTCGCAAAGCTGCACAGGAAGGCAAAGTCTGGACACTGCGGCAAAGAGCGTAAGATTCTCTTAGTCCAATCATCTCGTGGCGTGCCGTGCCCACTCCTGAACCTTAAACCCTAAACCCTTAAACCCCTAAGCCCGTAGCCGTATGAACCCTGAAAGCAATCTTTGCGCGGCCCAGTTGCCTCCGGGTGGAGGTGGGCCTTTGCCCTGCAAAGACAGGATCTTGAGGTGCAGGGTACAGAGTTTCGGATTTAGGATTTATGGTATGGGGTTTAGGGTTCAGGGTTTAGGGTTTTTAGGGGTTTAGGGGTTTAGGGGTTCAGGGTTTAGGGTTTAGGGGTTCATGGGTTCAGGGGTTTAGGGTTGTTTCGGGTTTAGGGGTTCAGGGCTTAGGGGTTTGAGTTTGTACAAGGTCTATTGTGGACTCATATACGGTCAAGTAGTACGGTTTGTGCCTTCTTGGGGTTAGGACTTCGGACCTGTTGAGGACCGCTCTTCACACTAATCAGAAATTAGGGTTAGGGTTTAGGGTCTAAGTCATAGTAGGGACCACCTAAACCCTAAACCGTAATGCCTTCTTATACGGTATCAGGGGATGTGAGTCTCTATGGGAGTTAGGATCAGGGGGACCCTTGTGGACATAGACCCTCTCAATAAGGTGCCTTTTTGAGTGAGCCAGAAGAAGGGTTAAGAAGGGTCCCTTTATGGGGTCTCCCGAATACTACCTCGGACTAGCGTATACTGAAGCCTTGCTCAGGACCTGGATAAGATAATTGGAAACCGCTTTCTTCCACTATGCACCCCTAGTTATGCTGGCACTCTAACCTACACTCCTTCACTATGAACCCTCTGAAAACTCTGTAGAATTTGTGTAAAATCCTCATAAGAACGGTATATACCTTGTAAACAAGACTGTACGAATCGTACCGTTAATATGGAAGCCTGCATAGCTAGTACAAGTATGCCGCGGGGTGCCCCTATTGTAGCTATGGTATGAGATGACCCGAACCTTTTACTAATTCGAACCACAACGGCTTTACACCCAAAACCCGAAACCCTAAACCCTAAACCCTAAACCGAAAACCCTAAACCCGAAACCCTAAACCCTAAACCCCCCCAAAACCCGAAACCCTAAACCATAAACCCAAAACCTGAAACCTTAAACCCGAAACCCGAAACCCTAAACCCTAAACCCTAAACCCTAAACCCGAAACCCTAAACCCGAAACCCTAAACCCGAAGCCCTAAACCCCTAAGGGTGGGCCTTGGCTTTGCCAGCCTTGGGCGCTGGTGCCGCTGCAGCCGCCTCCTCGGCCGCCGGCGCGTCCGACGCTGCCGCTGGTGTGGCAGCTGCTGGTTCCTGGATTTGGGTTTAGGGTTTAGGGTTTAGGGTTCAGGGTTTAGGGTTTAGGGCACATCCCTAAACCCTATAGTACATCCCTAACCCCTATAGTACATCCCTAGACCCTATAATACATGCCTAAAACCCTACAATGCATCCCTAAACCCTATAGTACAGGGGCCTGAATGATTGGAATGGGGTTTTGGGGTATACAAAACTATAATTGTAATCAGGAACCCCCAACAATAGTATGAAGGCCCCGCCAGTACATCCCTAAGCCCTATAATTCCCCACAGCCGGACGCGGGAAGCTCTGGGGGGGCCCTAAACTCAGGGCAGACATTCTCTTACAGTTATATTGCATTATACTATACGATATAATTCATTCCCCCAAAATGTCTTGCTAATATACTATATGTCAGATTCCTTCCTATGTCCTGCGAGTTCAGGATTTCTGGGTTGTGGCAGCTTTTGGTGCAGAGTCCACCCTGGTCTTAAGAGGTGTTTTTTGCGGGACTTGGTCTCGGGTCTTCCGGTTCATGGAGTTTAGCGTTTGAACTGAGGGTTGCAGCAGGGCTCATGGCAGAGATTTGGGGGCTTTTGGGCTCTCGGGCTTTTAGGGTTTAGGGTTTAGGGTTTAGGGGCTTGGGTTTGGGACCTGGGCTTAGAGTACCCTCTTCGCCAAACATGGGCCAAACCTGCATAAAAGCATCAAACAAATTGGGCGGATCGTCTCCTTTTGTGCTACGATATGAACTACCAAAGCAGTCCAATCCCCCCTATTCTTGATGCCTTTTGCTTATATGACTATTGTGTTCACTCATAGCATTCAACAGGCTTCCCAGCAAGCCTTTGAGAATAACATGGTTGCCCGGCTAAGGCTGCTCAGATTGAATAGCGCGCCCCAGAACCAGAAAGGATATAGGGCACAACTGAACGACCCACCACCACAGGAGCAACAATATACTTCGAAAACCCAAACCCTATACTCCATACCACTCTGAACCCTAACCCTCAAACCTCCATACCCCCAAACTCCAAAATTGAAGAACCCGACACGAACCCCGAACCAAGAAGATCCCCAAGAACTCTGACACCAAGAAGATCCGCATGACATCCCAAACCATCCCGTAACCCCAAAACGCCCCCCCCCACCCCCACCCCCCGCGGATTCCCCCAAACCCTAAACTCTAAACCCTACAACTTTCACAGAAAAACCAAACCCAAAACCCTACAACTTTCACAAAAAAACTAAACCCTAAACCCTGCAACTTTCACAAAAAAAGAGCCCTTGGCGCCTTGGCTTCGGCACCTTCACTGCCAGTTCCCGGGCCCTCCTCTTTCGGGGCCTCGGCAGGTGCAGCCGCGCCTGGCAAGGATTTTGGGTTTGCTCGTTGCGTTTAGGGTTTAGGGTTTAGGGGCTTAGGGGCTTAGGGTTCAGGCGGTTGAGGCGGTTTGGGCAGTTTAAGGTTTAGAGAGGATTGTGCTTGGAGGAGTTGCGATAATGAATGAGGTTTCGGATTCTCTGCTTCTCTCTTAGCTCTCTACTATTGTAAAGCCTGAAAAACCCTCATGATAAGCGTCAGACTCCTAAAGGCCCATGCCTGGCGGCGGCGGCCCTTTCTTTCCTTTTCCACCAGGCCTCGGTTCGCCAACGCCTACGCAAAAAGGCTAAGGAGCTCCATCTTGGCAGAGTGCTGTAGGGAGTTTAGGCCTTCAGCGCTTAGGGAAAAGTTTATGGCCTAGGGTCTTCGGGTTTTAGGGCTTAGGGTTTGGGGTTTTAGAGAATTCTGTTGCCCTGAGATTCAACAAAGGCGCGACAAGGAGGATGACCAGGTTGCAAGGAGCTTAACTGACGGAATCGGCTTAAAGATCCGGGGAGTAGGGTCACTAGGGGCTCCTGGCTTTGAGGGTTTGGGTTGCACGGTGTTCAGGTGTTTCTGCTCTATGTGGGTATATACATGTACAGATACATTGTCTTTTTCATACATATGTACAGAACACATGTATGTATGTATTTATGTATGTATGTATGTATGTATGTATGTATGTAGGTATGCATGCATGTATGTATGTATGTATGTATGTATGTAAGTATGTATGTATGTATGTATGTATGTATGTATGTATGTATGTATGTAGTTATGTATGTATGTATGTATGTATGTATGTATGTATGTA